TTGTTGCGACTTTAAAATAATATCTCGCACAGTTTTCCGCTGCAAAGGAGTCTTCTCCTGAAACCGTTCATCAAATGTCCGGCCTATCACGGAAAATAATTAGGTAAACTTGTGAGGAAAAAAAGCATTTTTCCGTATTTTTCATCATTTATATCTTTCTTCATTCTCTTCTAATTCACATGAGAGTAACAACAAAATCGTGACAATACACATAATTTTTGTATGTGTATAATTAGGTAAACCACAAGAATTTTGCGAATCATTAAGAAAGTAACCTGAATTCTTCTGCTGAATTTTATTCATTAGTATTTATTAAATTTTTCTAATTCTCTTAAAACAATATAAAAAATTCTCATTTATATAAAACTGTCCAAATGTTCGGCACATCATTTTTAACAATTTTCATAAATTTTACTGAAACCTTCAAAGTAGGCTGTGTTTCACTGTTCTCATTTTTGAAATAATGCTTTATCAATGACAGTGACAGTTTTGTTGTATCGTTGTTAACTGCTTAAAAGATAGTTACTCAGGGCTGGTATATCTAAGGGGGTCGCGATATAGACCCAGTAAATGGATGAGGGGGTGACTGAGGCTAGGGGGAAAATAGTAGTCAGCTTAAGTTGGCAACACTTTTCTGATGTTCGTTTGGCGAAATCCACGGTTATCGTTTGTCCTGCATCGTGCAAAATAATGTAAATATGGTACAAGTGGAATGAACCACTGTTTTCCTCGTAGTTTTTTGTACTTTTTTATATACCGAATTATGCAATTTGTTTGTTTCCACTTTATTTTAATGTTACATATGAATAGGTACATGCGTTTGTGCTGTGGTAAATAAGTGTTCAAGTGAGAATTATCTCGGAAACTGCATTGTGGCTGCACTCATCTCAAAACTGAATGCTGTAAATCCAGGATTTAAATCTTTCATAGTGTTGCTTGGGATAAATTGTAAAAAAGATGTTGGACAAAACGTTTGCAACCTAAAATTGCATGGAAAACATCATAGAAGAAGGAATTTTACCTTTATGACATTCTCTTTCAACATTTTTAAGTGACTAAGTTTGTGGTTTGGTGAATGGACTCAGTTACCACACAAAAAATTCAAATTAAAAAAAAGTGACTAAGTTCTAATAAGAATACATACAAGTTGAACATGAAAATGCAATTACTTGATTTAAATGTAATTTAATTAAGAGCTAAATAGATGTTTCATATAAACAGTGCTGTAAAATGTTGATAAATGCAAAACCATTATTAAAGAGAAATTAGTTATCATCAATAGAATATTTTGTAGTAGCTCGTTTCTTTAAATAATAAACTTGAAAAACTGTGAATTAGTAAGTAGAAGTAAAAACAAAAAAAAAATGTGTGGTTGAGACTAATTTATGTATTTAATAAAAATATATAAGTAACATGTTTTATTTAAATAAAAAACAGGTATTATTTGAAATACTTTATTTTAGTTTAATATTTATAAAATGTGGGTACATTTGATCCGAATCTTGCTTAATACTATAAAATGCATTTCTATATGGTAATATGGTTAGTATTGGAGTAGAAACACAAAAGTTTTGATTTAAAATATATTTTTTAAATAAAATATTCACTAGATATGCTAATTTAGAAAATTTCCTATTCGCAGCCATACATACGTTTCCTATTATAGTTTTCATACGTTTATAATTCTGGAGATACTGAAATATTTTGCTTGATTACTAAACTTTGGTTGTTATTGTTGTGGTCTGCTGTTAACACTATTGTCCTGAAATATTAAAGAAGCTTGACAAAGGTTTGTCCAACTCTTTTGTCAGGTTTGTTAATCTATGCTACTGTTATTCTGCATGCAGATATTTTTTACTGGAGATTTTCTCTAAGAACTGTATTCAGTTTCAAATTTCGGCCAGTTTTAGGAAAGTATCTACCTCTGTTGTAAAGGTATTTCAAAGTCATCCTTTGTAAGATGTAGCCTACAAATACATGCTATGTATAGAAAACAAATCGCAAGATATTACACAAAATTATTTAAATTAAATAAAAACAAAAATTAAGTGAATAATACCCACCAACAGGGAGCTCTATAAAAGGGAGCCATAATTTGTTATGCATCCCCATTTATAAGAAAATTGTCTTCATATCCTCACTTACCTTTTAAAATAAACCAAAATAGCACAAAATTGAAAGTGATTACTTTTCACGACGTATTCTATGTACATGTGAGATTATTAATAATTTATTAAATTAAAATATTTTAACCTACAAAATATGGGCATTTCATGAAAATGTCATTTAAAAAAACATTGATTTTTTTTCTTATATTGGTAAGCCTGGCGACTACAGGTTGCCACGTTGCCAGATCATTGGGCGACTACTATTTCGAAAAAAAATGGCGTCCAAAATATCTATGAAATAGACTCCTATGTCGCGACCCCCTTAGATATACCAGCCCTGATAGTTACTATAAAATTTAGCCATAACAACTGTGTCAATATCATCAGTATTTATGGTGAATGCCAAAAAAATATATCAAGAACATGCCGGATATTTGATAAACGGTATCCAGAGATATTATTTTAAAATCACAATATAATTAATTTAAAAAAACTAGAGACAAACCAATTACGAACGAAAAAAATTCAGCTGCTATATTAGGATACATTCTAAATGATCCCTCACAGTCAACTCAATGAGTAGCTGCGGCAAGTGGAATGTCTAGAAATTCGGTAAGAAGGATATTAAACAGGTATGTATGATTTAAAAAGTTTTAAATACCGATTATATCAAAAATTATATGCAGGTGACAACCGCCGCAGAATAACTTTTTGTGAATTTATGATAATTAAAGGACAAGAAGACCTATTTTTACAAAAATATAACTTAGGGTCTGATAACATAATTATACTAACTAGTAAGTAACACCAAACCGCACATTATAATCTTTGGCTGAGTTCAGCAAAAAAATTTGATCGGAATCTGTTTCAGATCAATTTTCAACAGTTTTATAGTCTGCTGAACAGTATTTTTTTTGTTTTGAACAAGGAACTGCAGTAACATTTGACATTTATTAAAGTCATGTAACTAACCTCCAAACTCCAAATTTGTGATTTTTTATTTTATCCATTTTATCTGTGGATCGTGAGTAAATTAAAAAGTAAAATATAAAAGGGTATTGTGTATAATAGCAAAAGCAACTATGGTAAAGAAAGCTAGAGTTATAAAATGGAAGGCGATATTTTAATGGTCGCCTTTGACGATGATATTGACTTAAATATTATTGTAAAATTGACGGGACCTCCATTCACCACTAGATGCTTTTCTTTAGCAGTCATCTAAACTTTGAAAGTTTGATCGAGATCTAGGTCAAATAACTCTAGAACTTCCATGTTTTAAATCGACACCCTCGTCTTATTTTTTAGTTGATCTTAACCTCAGAACAGAAACCACATACTTTGATTACTATACGGGGCAAGAGAGAGGTCCGACACGCCCGACATAAGGCGCGGCCATTTTGAACCCTATGACACAGTTTATAGCTAAAGAATCAGATCGCTCACTCTGCGTCGGCACTTTTGATGTCAATGTTCCAGTTTATACACTGCGCAACTCGGATAATACAATATATGACAACCGCCTATAATAAAACAACAGTCTTCTGCGTATCCTGGATTTGTATCCCTGGAGTGGATGTTATTTTGGAACTTTCAACTGGTCCGAGTGAGCTAACTGATTCTTTAGCAATAAACTGTGACTCCAAAAATAATATTCACTGACACTGACAGCAGCAAGCAAAATATCAGGGGGGTTATTTTCAAACTCGAGAGAAAGGAGTGCTCTATTGAGAGAAAGGAGTGCTCTATCGAGAGAAAGGTAGTATGTGACTTGGCCTTGTCCACACATCGGTTATGGGTACACACATGGAGGAAGGGTACACATGCCCCTAATCACGTGGTCAAATTCTCCTGAGAATATGAATTCTCTCGAAATAAACCGAGAGAAAAGGTCAGTGAGTAGTCATGAGGTAGTCACTGGTTTTCAAAATACAGTTTCCACGTTAACATATGACATTTCTCCTGAAATCTTGAGAGAAATGAGTACTCACACGGTTTGAAAATAGGTCCCCAGGTGCGTTTTAATCATCCGCTTCTGCTTCCGGAATTGTCGGTTTAGTCGTTTTAACCTGTCAGATTAAAACAAGAATTAGCCCGAGAAGGCTCAGATAAGGCCTTGACAGGCCCTGAACCCTTTCTGTGGAGTTGCTAAGGCATTGTGCAAGGCATCCATTAAACAATGGATGCAAAAAGAGTCTCAGGAATGGTGGAACAACTATCCAAGACTGAGACAGGCCAAACAGTTCATCAAGGAACCATCGGCCAAGTTTACGAAGGAACTACTGGATCAAAAACGTCAAATCGTTAGGATAACAGTAGGCCTTCTTACTGGACACTGTCGCCTTAAAAGGCACATGAGTGTCATAAATCCAGCAGAAGAAGCAACTGTGTGCAGGTTCTGTGAAGAAGAAGAGGAAACATCATTCCACGTCCTGTGCCAATGTGGAGGCTTGGCTGGAATGAGGTTTCTAACATTGGGCGAAGAAAAGCCAATTGCATGCAACTACGTGCGGGAGCCACTGTCAAAGCTACTAAGTCTAATAAAAAAAACCAGGCTAGACGACATACTCTAAAACAAACGGAGTCCCACAATAGATCTGAAAAGGTCGCGGTGGACAAGGACAAATAACGTCCAACTCCTAATCTAATCTAAATCTACAATTTTGTTGTGCTATAAAAGTGATGTGGCATCGGTATCTACATTTTTATTGGACTGTTGACAGAGAAGAAGAATTTTAACACTGCCAGTCTTACAGAGTGAGCCAGCAAAGTATTGTGAATGTGATAAAATGGTCTTGGTCTCGGATCAATTGACCTTTGGCAACATTTTTAACAGTCCAATTTTTACTCAAAGATTATTTAATAAAACATCGTCAAAAACAATACATATATATTATACACAGTAAAAAAAAATTACAACTAAATCTGTAATTTAACAGTAACTATCAATGAGACGCTTCCCAAACTGTATTTTCTTGTGAATTTCTTTTCCTGCTTATCACTTCAACATGAGCTTCTAGACCGTCAGACAGTCGACTCAATCTTCTTGCCCAAGAACCTCTCAATCCTAAAAAAATTGCATTTTTCTGTTTTTTTCTTTGCATATATAATAAAAGTAAGTTTTAAAGTTTTGAAGCTCTTACCTGCTCTATTTTCACTTCTAGAAGCATTATTATTGTCTCTGAAGACTTGCATTAGTTCTTCATAGTCATAGTCGCTCTTTTTTAGTCCATGCTCATATTTAGCCTCTTTAGCTAAAAGACTTTCTCTTTGGATTTGAGTCTTCAACTAAAAGCAAAAATTAATTAAACGTAAACATTTAAATCATGTTTTATTTAACTACTATCGTACCTCTGAAGGTATATCTGGAATAACGTACTGCATAATACCAACCAAGGCGAAAACAACATGCTGAAAGACAAACAAATTTAGATTATATAAAATCTGTGGCGGTTGGTGTATAAGTGCTATAGAGCTGCAGAACTACCAAAAAATACAAGTATTTCATCTGAATTTTGCAAAAATTATTTTAGACATTCTAAAATAAGTTAAATAAATCTTGCAGAACACCCAATGTCTTTGACCACAAGCCGCCACTGTATAAAATTAAATTAACGTTTAATATTACCTCAAAAACTACAACGAATGCCAACCTAGCAGCGAAAACGTGCCAATATTGTGGACTCAATCCGTAAGGATCAGATTCATCAGGACCATTTCTATAACCTGTTGAAAAAATAATTTCATGATGTTAACAAAGTTGGATATCTAATTAGTTTCCAAACAAAACAATGCTAACATGTCAACGTAGCACCTAATCAAAAAATAAAAACACAAAATTCAAAGAAGAAAAAAAAAACAAAAAACTACACAAAAATATTTAATAACGAAAAAATTTCTGTTATCCTGATAATCGTCTGGCCTAAAATACCACAGTTACAATAAAAGGACAATTTTAACAATTACAGGGTATCAGTAGTAGAATACATGTATAATGTGCAAATTTTGGAAGTCCAGAGACATCAATAAATTAATATGCAAACGTAGGTTCAGAGAGTTTTTTGAAAAGGAATATTAATTGGTTTAAAATTGAAGAAGCAGTGTTTACATTAAAATGCTTAAATTGTGCTGGTTTGGATAAACAAACAGTTGATACATTATAAGTTGGCGAGGATCAATTGATAAGTAAAATTCCTAGGAAATTCTTAAACAAATTCCAATATTACCCCTACGAAATAATGACAATTATTTTTGAACCCCCAATGAGAAAACAAATTTAATAAAAAAATTTAAAAACTTCAGCCCGGAGGTTTGAAACTCACCTACTTATGTTTTACACACAGCCGCTATTCCAATTAAGCTATCACTGACATAGGGGTCTATTCTGTAAAAATTCCTTTATATTTAACGGCCTTTAAAAATATTTTCTTCTTTACTTCTGTCATTATTTAAACGGATCTTTAAAATACAGGACTATCTTAAAGAAATCTGTTTAAATAATGACAGAAGTAAATTAACGAATACAAACATATTTTTAAAGGTCGCCAATATTTTTAAAGGCCGTTAAATATAAAGGAATTGTTACAGAATAGACCCCATTGTCAGAGATTTCCGAAATGGTAAGATTAATATAAGATTTACAACCTCGCGTTTCAGAAAATTTTCAATTCTTTAACAAACTAATGCATCGTCTGAGGAAACATGGAACCGCATGCAGATACTTCCTCATGTCGTCTAAATTTATTAAGTTTTTAATATACGTAACAACGCAAACACATACTGTGAGAGAATCGGTAGGTGAGTACGAATCCCCTTGAGAGCAGAATTTTTTCAATTTTTCATTAAATCTGTTTTTTCTTGGCGGTTCAAAAATATTTTTTATTGTTTCGTAGGGGTAATATTGGGATTTGTTTGGGACATTCCTGGGAATTAAATTTCATATTTTTCGGATTTCTAACCGATAATTTTTCGTAACTTTAAAACCGATTCTCTTACAGTGTGTGTTTGCGTTGTTACGTATATTAAAAACTTAATAAATTTAGACGACCTGAGGAAGGATCTGCTTGTGGTTGCATGTTTCCTCAGACGATGAAGAATTAAAATTTTTCTGAAACTTGAGGTTGGATTCGAAATTTTATATTCATCATTCCAATTCGGAAATCTCTGACTATGTCAGCGATAACTTAATTGGAAGAGCGGAACAGAAGTAGGTGGGTTCGAATCACCCCGCGAACAGAATTTTTTCAATTTTCCGATAAGTTTTCGGAACTTTAAAACCGATTCACTTACAATTGGTAAGTAGTTGAGAAGAATATATAAAGATGTATGCAAATATTTTTCATCTAAAAAAATAGCATATAAACGACCAGGAGGCAGGCACAACTATCTAGATGTTATCTATTGTTATGTAGTGTCATACATTTCATCCTAAAAGACCTATTCTGTTCTCTTATATCGCTAATAATGATTTTTCCAAGGAAGTTTAGAATTTTAAGCGACTCCAAGACAGTCCAAGATCGCTCTTTTCTATCTAGTACGCTTTCATGTTCCCTTGGATACTGTATTGCCATTCACATCATAACTTGAGCCGTACAACAGATCGGCAACAATTTTTGGCGGCGCCACCAGTTATCACAGTCTAATAGGTTTCATTTACTTAAATGTCCCAAGATGTGCCGATTCACTGGTGGATCAACATTGTTACGACACCAATGTCCTAGTATAATAGCGATACAGGGGTGTGAAAAGAGTATTTTTCTACGAACTCTTACAAATAGACATCTTTCGCCACAGGATACTTTCAGCGAAATCTTGATTTCCGTCACTAGTGAGAAAAAATCACATAACGTTTACTTTCGTCTCTAGTGACGAAAGTAAGTTGTTACATATTTTCATATATCAGTCGCCTCGTATAATATTTTGGCAGCTTATAATTATTAATAATGAAATAAAAAGATGCTCATTAAATTCTATATGCGTTTTTACCTAAACTTTAATGAATTAAAGATAAAATAAAAATGTATAAAAATAGTGCAAATTAAACCAATCTACATCTAGTTTCCTGGTTTTCATTTGTTTATTTGAAGTTTTATCACTTTTGAGAACTGTCAGTTTCAGTTCGTCCTAAATTTAACACATTTTCATGATGTCTGAGTCTGAAAGCGATTGTACTCCCCCAGAAATTATTTTTAAAGCTGAAGAAACCTCTTCAGATTTATTACCGGCCAAATCAAAAAAGAGATATGAAGAAATTTATATTAAATTTTTGGACTGGAGAGAAAAAAATAAAGTGAAATCATTTTCGGCAACTGTACTACTAGCATAGGTACTTTGGAGAAATATGTTAAAATTTTAAACCGTCGACGTTATGGTCCATTTATTCGATGCTAAGAACTACACTCTCTGTTAAAAATGATGTCGATATTAGTAAATATCCAAAGTTACGTTCGCTTTTGAAAAGAAAATCTGATGGTTTTAAAAGCCAAAAATCCAAAATTTTTTCGCCTGAAGACATAAAGACTTTCCTAAAGAATGCACCTGACTATAAATATTTAATAACAAAGGTAACGGAATTATTATTTTTATTTTAACAAATACTTAATACATAACTACTAATATTTGTAGGTAGCATTAGTTTTTGGATTATCTGGCGCTTGTCGTTGCCACGAACTAAAAGATTTAACAATAAGCGATGTAAAGGATACTGGAAGTATTCTGTTAGTTAAAATCCGTAATACAAAAACAAAAGTTCCGCGTTCTTTTCATATTTCTGGACCCTTTTATGATATTTCTAAAAATATATGAGCCTACGTCCCGCAAACATGGATCAAATTAATTCAAGATTCTTTATTAACTATCAGAATGGAAAGTGTAGCAGACAGGTTATTGGAATTAATAAAATCAGTAAATCCTAACGAAATTGCTTAGTTTTTAACGCTTCCGAATCCTCAAGATTACACTGGGCACTGTTTCCGCAGAACATCCGCAACGCTATTAGTGGATGCAGGAGGTGACTTGCTTCTGTTAAAAAAGCACAGTGGTTGGAAATCTAGTAGTGTTGCGGAAGGATATGTTGATGAATCCACGAACAGTAAAAACCAAATACAAACCAAAATTTTACAATCTGTACAAAATAAGGAAACTACTAGTTCATCCGATTATGGCGCATCATCATCTGAAATGACATTTAACAGTAGAACAAATATGTCTGCATTTACCTCAATAAATAAAAAGCTTGAGTGTGATACCCCCATAATTTTGAACAATATTGTTCAAATATAACAATAAATCAATATTTAAATAATAAATAATATTTCTGAAATATTTAATTTTTTGTTATTCCTAACACAAAATAAAGAATTTGCTAACGTTTGTTTTTTTTTTCATTTTAGTAGGTACCTACATGATATAATAGAGTTCGTAGAAAAAGTATAGTGTTTTACTCGTCGAAAATCATTTAAAAAATGTTATTTTCGTCACTCGTGAAACAATATACTATTCTCCACTCAAAAAGAAAATTAATAAATAATATTAATAATAATAGCGGCCTTGGTGGTAAATGGTGTGCCACCAAAAATTGTTGCCGTACTTGTGAACGTCTTCGACAACCAGTCGGACCACATTGTCTGGAGTCGCCACCAGTTAGGATGTTATTTTGCTTGTAGAATATTAGACTAAGCCACCAGTTAAGCCACCAACGTTCCTACACGTGTGTGCAGTGGTAAAAAAATTAGTTAATTTTCGTCCCATAACATGGAAGGAGGTGAGATAAAAATCTCGAGTATAAAAAATTATGAAACTACGAAAAGTAAAAAATAAGATGTGCAGTTGAATAAAGTTTGCGAAATAAGTAAATTAGCTCATTAAATTCCAAAATGTTTGAAAACTGGTTATTTTACTTCGCTGATATCTCGAGCAGAGATTTTATTTCGGCGAATGACTGAATTCAGCATATTGAGTATACAACGCAGTGAAAACTAACGTGGTTACACCAATGAACTGGAGTGGGGTAGAATGCTTGTCAATAGGCTTGAGATGCGACTCTATGGGCGAAGACAGGTTATTTTTCATCTCACTCGGGAGTATTTATAACGACCATTTTCTATTTTACTTTGTTATTGTCTGATCCACCAGCCTGTGGATTGAACAATAACAATGTGAAACAGAAAATGGTTATTATAAATACTCCCGAGTGAGATGAGAAATAAAAATGGCTGCGCCCATAGAGTCGCATCTTGTTTAATTGATAAAATATGCACATTAGCTTTCTACCCCACTCCAGTTCATTGGGTTACACCAGCGGCCGATAATTATTGTTTGCTTCATTTGATGGCTCCACCAGTTGCGGCCACCTTACGCCGTACGCCACCACTCTAATAACGGCCTTACTATATCTAATAACAATATTGAAATAATTTTTGGGAACTGTTACAGCCGTTGCTATGATGTCTTTGTTTTGTTTGGAACTATCGAAATAGAATGAAGTAGAGACGATATTAATACTAGTTTGCGACGTAACAGATGAACGCACTCTTAACGGTGCCAAGAGTGATGGAAGAGTGTAATCAAAATGGCGACTTATTTTGATTTATTTCAAGTAAATAAATTTATGTTTGAAGATTGACGGAATAAAAATGTTTTTATATCATTTAACTGAAGCTTTTTAAAAAAAATGGCATTTGTTTTCACCGAAACTGACTAGCTCGAGTTACGAGTTAGTTTGACACATGACGTAAAGGTGTAATGCAAAGGTGTGGACACTATTAGTAATGTCCATTGATCTGGCAACCTAGGGATACGACATGCGTAAGCGAAAAGTGGGACCGGTCCGCCATTACTGTGAGTGCAAATTGTCAAATTTTATAGGTTATATTTTTAGTGTCATTTGTGTAATTAAATTTGAATTTAATTTGTGTTTGAGCAAATTTTGAGTGTTACAAACTTATAAAGTATATAATGCCTTGCTGTGTTATACGTTCCTGCTCTAGCGATAGACGTTTTTGTGAAAAATCGACTGGAATAACGTTTCATAGGTTAGTATCAAAATTATAAATATTATACAGGACAGTATTATGACAGGTTTGTATAAAATGTGTAAAAGTATGCTTTTAAAAATGCAAAAAAAATCATCTATCAACTTTTTCATACGAAATAATATTTATAGATTTCCAAAAAATCCTGAAAAACGTAGCGCGTGAATACAGTTTGTCAAGAAGCATAATTGGGAACCTTCTAAATTCAGCTGTATATGTTCCAAGCATTTTCTTGAGTGCATTAATCGTACGCTATTTCGTTTATCAAATTTATAGGCATTTTATATTCTTATTTCTATTTAAATATAACCTACATTTGCAGTCCTTCCACCAATTTTATTTATTAGTTCTACAGCTGATTGAAAAGTAGAGCTTCATGTTTTGTGTATGCATGAGTATTGTTTGTTTTATTATAGTTAATTTAAAACAATATTAATATACCTTTTTAATTACCTATAATTTGTTTCAGATTAGTGCGTTTAAAGGAATTGGTGAAAATGAAGCGATTCGCCAGCTTTGGGGATATGCCAGTAAAAGTGACATCGAAGTTATTCAACGTTTCCAGAATAAAGTATTAAGGAACATCGTCGATGCACCATGGTACTGCCACAATACTGATCTTCATAGGAACCTTAAAGTGGAGACTGTTGAAAATACAATACAAACATTTGCCTCGAGATTATCCAGCTCCTCGACAAGCGACGATTTCCATACCGACAAGTTCCAAAGCACCAAATATTCAGTGCAGTGTTTCGACATATTCGAACACATGGTATACGGTGTTAATATATCTTTTGATATTTAAACTCTTGCAGCTTGGTAACCATGTAGAATTGGATATTTGTTCATAGGACATTTTATGCTTGAAATGAATTCAGGAATATAATATTTAAGTTTGTACAGTGCATATTATGAACACACTGTATATAAGTTCTAATAATAATAAAAATATTTTCTAATGCCTTGGTACGATTCCCCACTCGATTATTCACTGTTGGGTTCTAATAATTAACAGTGCTGTTCCTGAAGTGGCGCTGGGAAACAGTAACAAAGCCTACACAGAACACACATTATTGAGAATTTAAACACAAGCTTGAGACTATTAGGTAATATAAATAAATAAATAAATAAAAATATACACCTTGGCCATAAATCGAAAAAAAAAAAAAATAACATTAGTCTTTTTTTAATGAGACTAGCAATAAAATCATAACCGTTTGTCTAGTATTAAAAATAAATATTACTCATAGATATGGATAAGAAAATATTAAAACTTTATTCCTTGTACACTTTTATTTAATCACAGCACACATTATTTGCATTTACAATATTTGCTTGACGTTCATATGCCCCAGTCCTGTTTTGTTCACCTTTTCTAGTAGCTTTTTCTGCTAAACTCTAGTCCCTGTTCTACCTCCACCTAGGTAATGAATTATTCAACCATTTAGTCAACAACGGGGTTTTACTTGTTTTACAGTAAGATACTTATCTTTAATGTTCAAGTTTTAGAATTTGAACTTGGATTAGGCCATTTTCGTCAATTTTGTTCTTAGAGCTTTTTTAAAAACACTTGGGAAGTACTCTCACAAATTTATTTCTTATTTTGCCTAGCGAAGAAATTGTGTATTAGGAAATATTCTGGTTTTTACCTTAGTGGTCAAGAAAAGCGCTTACAGTGGATACTTTTCCTAACTCGATAAACATTTATTACCTAGATGTTGGCCTCTCTTTATAACCAGCCTATAATTTCAACTCTTTTGCTGTTAACTTTAACTTCATCTGTGACTTTAACTATGATTGAGACTTCAACTTTATCTTCACATTCTTTGTCTGACTTTCAATCATACATGCATGATTATTGTGCATAGACCAATTAAATTGGACCGGCACGCTTCTGGTGCATGTTGTGTGTTACTAGGCCTTTACATAAGTAGCCATAATCTCTGCAGATGATGAGAAGCCCAGCTCAAACCAACTACCATAATATCGTCATTAGATCTAAAGGTCTCAAGTAAGATCACTTCATATTTTACATTTGTTAGGAGTGCACCTGCACACCGCTGGTTGTGGCTTCGCTGATTTACTGAATGTCTTGCATGAAGATATACACCTTTCAGTCTGAATCTACAAAAGTACCAAGACCAAGTAAGATTAATCCACATTTTGATTTCCTGAATAGTGCATCTACCTACACAGAGATTGCTTATTAGCCATTTTCCGCGAGCCTTGCATTAAGTTTCGTATCTGATTATCGAGCTTTTAGTGTATGAACATTTGTTCTTAATTTCGAGAAAGCTGTTAATTAAAGTAAGGTTAGATTACTTGACATTTGCGACCTTGTACTTTCCGATTAAAGACAGAAAGCATTGGGCTCATAGAAAAACGAAAAACTAAAGATTGAGCTATTTATGTGCCCTAGTGCAAACGTGTGACGATTGATCCAATAAATCGAACTCTGTTTACTTTTGTCGCTTATGTGAACCAAAAATGTATTATTTATTTTTTCTGTGAATGATTTCAACGTTTTAGGGTTAATTTTACCATTGTGTTAAAGTTTAAACTATTAATTGAAGATTAAAATTACATTTTATGTAAAAATGTCATTTTAAACTTCATTAAACCCAATGGTGGAATCGGCCCCAAGTTAGTTATATCATGGTCATTGATTAGTTGCAATTTTGCAAATAATATATTTTCCAGCGCTTAATAGCCACTTGAGTGATAATTAAATCACTTATATTTTATTTATTTCATTTACTTTATTCAGCACTTCTCCGCTGAAAACCGGGCATATTTAAGCTTTTAAATCCCCTTCTTTTATAACCTCGGCCTTCCACCACCTTTTAAGTCAATGTCAATAAAAAGGAAAATAATTTTTTTATAATTCAAATAATGATACTTAACCAGAAATAGTACAATAAAAACTTGTAAATCCGGTTCTGCTCTTCCGCCATTTTAGTGAGTGCAAAAGCCACGCCTACCGGTCCCACTTTTGTATATCAAAAATAATGCATATGACGTATCCTTACGTTGCCTTATCAATGGTAATGTCCTAGCATCCTACTCTTTATTTTATTTTATTGTTTGAAACACTAAAGTTACATGAATCTATTTTTTTAATAATGTATTTGGATGCTAAAGCATTCTTTAGTTTTTAATCCCCTGTGTAGCTGTAACTTAGAAATCTTTAGATCAGATACTTCTTCACTTTAAATAATCGCTGAGATATTAGATACCCATATTTAAATTATTTAAAGTTGCAAAACTTACAAAACGTTCCAAAATTTGACCATATTTCTGAAATATGTTCATTAATTAATTTACTTACCTCTATATTGGCAAGTTTGTGGAGGGTTTGGTTCATCGGCTACTCTCATTTCTTCCGTATAATGGGACGTATTAAAAACTGAAAAAGTTTTGAATTACTTAATAAAATAAAAATGAAATAAAAAATACTTAATAAACATGCAGTTAGTTGCTTTGAATACGCTCATCATTTTTGAACGAAATGTGGTTTACTTATATGCATAGCATAATGACGATAGTATATTTTATAACCCTTAGGGCAATTTTAAATATATTTTTAAGCTTATTTCTTAACCATATAATCCTAAAATTAAATAATTTAGTTTTTATAATGACATTATTTTTTGATAAATACCCAAGTAATACAAAACTCTAAATAATCCTAGAAGCCAAGCATTAAATGCGGAATTAAGGTAGTTCACTCGCGACAATAACGCCTTATGGTGAATACCGAAAGTTCAAGATTCTCAATGCTAAAAAATGTTATTTTTGTAAAAGACTGTACACAACACATGTAGGTTTATATTATACGGATACGTTATTATTTCAAGTAAAATCCATCCGGCAACGTCGCAAATATATGAATGGTAGGCTATCAAGTGAGTTTGTATACCTATAGAAATTTATGACTTCCTCATACTAATTTTAAGGATTTGTTTTGGTTCAAACAGAACCGTCGATTCCAGTTCTCAAATACAGTGGAAGAATTAGTTTTTTAAGAACATGTCGCGAGGTTATAACAATCTATTAGCTGATCGAGTGTAATTCAGTGATTCTGAACTAGTTTCCGAAAGAACCAAAACAAGACTAAAGTAATCTAACAGTCATTTGAGTTACCGCGCGTTAAGTGCAGCTATTACAATGTTGCCAAGTTGTAATCATTGTACCCTACTACGCGTCCTCTGCTTTAAAAATCTATCTTTTTACCAAAACGGTCCAAAAATTCGGCGTTTTTTTAGAAAATTTTATAACATTCATTACATTAGTTTTTAAAGAATATATAGAAAGAAACGTTTTCGTGTTATCTTGAAATAAATGCATTTTAGAAGGGTTCAAGCAGCATTTTTGCTAAATTGCATTCATTCCCAGTAAGTTTTATGTTGGCATCGGCGAGTGCTTATATGATCTTATTTGACGCCCACAAACAAACATGGCTGACCGTTCATTTACGACTTCAACACCGTTGCCAAAGCGTATGAAATTCAAATATCATGAGCGTTTTTAGAGCAGTTACTTGTAAAAAAAATGTAGAATACCAGTTATATCTGTCAAGAATGTAGTAATTTACCTGATAGAGAAGCGTCTATGTAACCAGTCAAATTGAATGATTCAGAATATTTGTATTGATAAACCATTCTTGGAATGAAGTCGCTTGTATATGCTATAACAAATCCCTGAAATACAATAACGAATAGATACAATGTACAAAGTGATGAAATTGACAAATTTTATAAAAGAAAAAGTCGAAAATAAATAGCCACATTCCCGAGAAAGAGGCAGTTGGCAAACGGTAGTCGATAGTTTTAAGTAGAGATGGGTAAAGAAAGCTATTTTTACGAAGCAGTGACAACCGCTTCTGCTACAACAAAAGAACAAAAAAGCAGTGACAAATGCTGCGTTTGAGAATCCACACGGATGCATCTGAGATGTAGTAAATCTTTGATCACGTGATTCAGTATACGTAAATGTAATGGTACAGATGTGTCCGATGTGGTTAAAAAAACGCTCCAGATGTAAAAAATGCATCCGATGTGAATTCTCAAACGCGGCATAATACTGCTATTTTTTGGAGCAGCTTTTAGATAATTTTCATATTTCACACGATATCTGTGTTTAGTAAAATTGTTCTATCTATAAATTAATGATTATGGAGTCAATAATTTCGTATAAAACACATTTAATTATTTTCTTTTCTTGAAGATTGGTTAGAACTGACCAAATGGACCTTCCAGCCAAGACAAAAGTAAATAAGAATATGATTGATATTATTAATTGTCTTTCGTTATATCGGGGATTCACTTATTGATTTACTACCTAAAGATTAACATTTTGCATTCTGTTTCTATTTCAACAAAAGTGTTTCTTAAAGTTTTGAATGTCATCTTTTTTATATTAAAAATAAATAGACGAAATAAGTCTATAAAAAAAGAATAAAAAAATAAGAACGTATATCGTTTTTCTCTTTTCTTAGAACTGCTCCGAAAAGTAAAAATTTTTCGGTGAGTCGTGGAGCACTTTGCTCCAGTGACAAGTGAAAAGCAGTGACAAAACCTGCTACTGTGAAATATCGACCCATCTCTAGTTTTAAGCTTTAGTTGCAATGGAGCAATTTACGGGGCTACAACGTGCTTTTTATTTTTTATATTCGTGTGTTTTATAAAAACAATGATTCTTATATTCTTGTACGTCGTTTTTACAAAAATCAGGTCAAATTTTATTTCCAGTACTCTCAAACTTTCTTAACCAATATTTAATTAAATTTGCAGTTGGGACATCATTCATTCTTGCTATGTTATAATGATTTGTGTACAATCGACGTACAAGAACATAAGAATCATTTTATAAAACGCCTGAATAGAAAAGCACGTTGTTATCTTGTAAATCGCTCCATTGCAGCTAAAACTTAACATTGTATATCACCATTTTCCAACTTCCTCCTTTCTCAGGAATGTGCCTACAACTCCGGTGTCTTCTCCCCATACCCTGAAAAGTTTTCTCGACTCAAATATTATTGTTTAAAATTTGTTTGTTTGTCTTAAAGAAATTTTGTTTAATCCAAGACATCCTTTCTTGCAGAAGAAATTAGTTGTTTGAATACAAATCTCAATTTGTTTTAAATTCATATACACAATTATTTATTTTAAGCAATAATGTAATAAATTTAAAGAACATTTTTTGCATAAAACAAATTTATTTGACACAAAAATAAATTATTTTGATCCAATTTTTTTATTTCTTTGAATGAAGACATTAAAATTTTGTTGAAACTAATCAGTTATTTTAAATTATAAAATGATAGAATCAATCCTGCATTGTTTAGAAACAAACATCGCATTTGATTAATAAAATATTTATTTAATAGGAAAATACTATGGTGTTGCTAAGGGGCATTTCAGTCAGTGGCAGCGTATTTACATCTCTTAATAGATTCTCGCTGTGATATCTTATTACTATTTACAGAATTTCTCCATGCCAACGTCTTATTCAGTTTCTACTATTAACGAGAGAATAAAAAAATTTAAAAGTTCGCTCACATTTGAAACAACTGCGGCGTATGTTATAGCTCTCAAAATACCATACCAAGCTCCAATATCCTCAACCCTTTCCGCCAAAGGTCTTCTAGCCTGCGTTACCATTTTGTAAGCGTCCAACCGTATTTCAGCTATATTATTTAATAAGGCACATAACGGAGCTAAAGGGAATGCTGCTACAAACAGTGTAACGAAACCATATTGGAGTACTGCAAAATAGAGAAATATAATTTAATAAATTAAACCAAGAAGCCACATTATTTAAAATGTTATCACGGCATGGGTATACCAGCAGAACCACTCAATTCAGCCAGTTTCGGCATCGTTCATCGTATTTCGGTGGCTTCGGCATGGTTTCGGACGGTGGAAAACTCTCTCGTAAATAAACAGGCCCGTGTTTAACAAATTATTGCGTTTTAAAATAATAATCGGAACACGTCAAAAATTGTCTTGATGTATTTTATGTTAGTGAAAACTTTAATATCTGGCGCCGCCACTAGTCCTGCTTTATATTTACATATTTCGTATGTTAGTGATGACGTAGGTACACGCCATAATCGATTATATAGCCTATACATACATAATGTGATCAAAGTATATCTAAAGAGTGATTTACAAAAAAATATTTCTAAAGAAGGCAATGATCGACAAAGACAGATATACGAGTCATGTCCGTGATAAAAACGCACGGCTTTTAATTAAATACAAACTGACACTTAAAAAGAATAATTAAAGCCTCAGCTTATGTTTTAGCACAACCTTTTTCCCGATTTAAAAAAAATATATGTTATTCGTAGCTTATACCGTCTTCGAATAATTGAAAATCCAATATCCTATTTAAGCCATTACTGTAATGGATAAGTTATATGGAGGGATCCTCAAAAAATGTTTCTAAAGTAGGTATTGAAAAAATTCGTACGTTGGAACATTCAATTTTTCTTGTTTTTAGGTATCAATATGTATTTAATTCAGAACCGTGCGTAGTTATCACTGATTCTATCGTTGTCAGTCATGGCCCTACTTTAGAAACATTCTACGTGAATCACTACTTCTTAAATTTATTTATACTTACTCATTTCCAAATATTCGTCGAACAAAGCTAATCTGCCTGGATCTTGAAGATGGTAGTCTTCCTCCCACCTTGTGTGCGGTCTTGTTAAGTCTTTTGTATTAGATTTGTGAGCTCTCATCCTCCACCAATTGTAAAATGCTCTAAAAATAAAGTAAACTCAAATATTTGAGATATTGGCAGGCTGTTACTAAGATGAAGGAGAGACAACTAGGAACAGGATAATATAGAGCAATATTCATGTGAATAGATACATTTAAGGCTACTTATAAATAAGTTTGTTGCTTACGGGTTGAATAGCTCGACGAAATTATTAAAAATCTGCTTTCCTATCATGATAATAGCCAGTTGAATACATAATTCACTTAAACAACCAGCTGGATCACAGATATCTAGTTTGACTCGTAAAAATTCAGATTGCCTTGATTCCGCATCGCCAGGGTAATCAAAAAATCTACCCTAAAACGAAAATTGATTTTAAATTAATATTATAAAATAGAACTTATAAAACAAGTAAATATTTACATTGTAATAAGCGATAGGTACACTGAAATAAGTATAGGCTTGTTCCTAAGTAATCAGAAATATTCACTGACAGTGTAGTATGTTAATAGTCCATCATCTGACTATGTTCCGGTGATGGGAGCGGTCATATGACTTGTGAAATTTAAATAAAATAGCTTATCGATGGATATTTTCAGATCACTTTTCGCCAGGATGCAGTTTTGAATATCAACCCATATCATCGACACAAAGATCAATATCCGGTCACTTGGCTGAAATTCCTACACCGGAAGTAGCAAAACTGGACGACAGAAAATGCTTTAATGTTATTCACATCTAGAATTGGGCAGCACTGACAACAACAAAAGAGGTAATTACTTGAATTCATTTTAACTACTAACCTGGAAATATTGAAGAATGAAAATGAACTTACTTTTGTAACCAGTAGACGGAGTGAGGTTATTGATATTACCCTCTGTTCTCCCTTCGTTTCAAACTCACATTGGCAAGTGGTATGTGTCTAGAGAGCCTCCGCTCTCAGATCATCGGTATATTCTCATGGAAATCGACGGGGTAAAGCTGGGAGTGGTGTTAAAAACCGTTAAAATAACTCTTGAAACTAAAAATGATATAGATGAAGTTGCAGAACAACTATGGAACGCTCTGATATCATCCTATAATGGTTCGTTAAAGAACAGGAAAACTTCGAGGGAAGTGAACTGGTGGAACACCGAACTCACCAAACTCACAAGGAAAACACGTAAACTTTTTAATAAGGCGACAAAGACGAATAAGTAGGGGAATACACCGAAACATTCACAAAGAATAACAATAATTCTAGGAAATCTAAGAGAGATTCATGGGGAAAATGTAAGGAAATTGAAAATTCAACTAAAGGATGCAGATTACAACGCATTCTAGCAAATTATCCAATAAACCCCGTGGTGACTCTAAAAACCCAAACTAAAACTGGAATGGAAACATTAGAATTACTTCTCAAAACTCATTTCCCTAATTGCACAAAAAACCAAAGACACACGAACTGGAACTCTCAAAAAATAGTCTTCAGCCAAAAGTGGGAAACTGCAAAACGGATAGTCACAACAGAGAAAGTAACATGGGCACTACGCACCTTGAAGTCACGGGACCAGAAGGAGTATTGCCTGTACTTCTGCAACAGTCAATAGAACCACTTGCCCCGCATTTTGTAGGCTCTACAGGGCAAGTTTGGCGCATAAATATGTACCAAACACCTGGAAATAAAGTAGAGTGGCAAAGGCCTACAAACCAATAACTCATTTCTGACGTCATAACCGGCAAACCATCCTGATAGAGAGGCCATTTCATACAAACCAAGATACCTATCAATCAGGAAAATCTTATGACTCTGCTCTACATCATCTTGTTACGAAGATAGAGTGGGGACTTAGTAACCAAGAAATATTCCTAGTAGCATTTTTTGACATAGAAGTAGCTATTGATAACATCTCCTTTCAATCAATGGTTGCTGCTGCTCTCAAACATGGAATACAAGACACTATCTGCTGGAGGATAGAAGACATATACGCGGACAAAAAATACAGGTACAAATGTTTAGTGAAACCATGCAGAGGAATATCTACAGGTAATGCGCTTTCTCTTCTACTGTGGAACATAGTGGTAAATAAACTGCTAAGAACACTGAACAATCAAGGGCTGTACGCCCAACGATACACCGATGACATAGTCATCATTATCCAAAAGAAATACCAAATCACAGTCTTCGAATTCATAACAAAAAGCTATAAGGCGAACAGAAATGTGGTGCGCTCGGTAAAACCTCTTGGTAAACCCTGACAAGGCACAACTCATAATCTTAACTTCGGATAACAAGGTTGGAGGTCTTAGAAACTCCAACTCTGCTTGAGAAGGCTAAAAAGAACGAACAAACTTACTTGGAACCAACACAAAAAGTGATAAAAAAATGCAAAATGTCTTTCATTGTAGGGAGACGGGGATTTAGGAATTTATGGGGAATAAAACCGAAAATAGTTCACTAGCTGTATTCGGCAATAACAAGACCCATGATAACTTATAGAGCAGTTGTTTGGTTGCCAGAAGTAAACCAGAAAACAGCCCTCAATACCTTCTCAGGTATGCCTTTTTATTACAAAAGCACTGAGAAGTACACCGACAACCTCTATGGAAATCATTCTAAATCTCCAACCCCTTGATCTAGTCATAAAGAGAGCGGCCAGATTGAGTGCATTTAGGCTACACATCTCCAACTGAAATCCACTGGGGCATATAAAACATACCAGAATAACACATAAATTTTTTAAATTTAATTAAAATACTGACATATTTTCTCTCTTTTATGAAAAAGCGCTAGCTTGATTCACTATAATTAGACTGGGCGTTAATGAATTGGAGCAGGAGGAGGAGCAAACTTGTCTCTCATGTGTTTGTCTCAGCGCAAATTTGTCGCAGAAAATTTGTCTCGCGCTAAAATGTAAGAGAGACGGAGCTACAAATCAAACATTATCTACATAGGCGTCATCGGAATAGTATTTGTTACGCATTATTTCATTGAATTTCATTAATAAACAAAATATCTTGTTCGTTACGCGTTATTTTGACCTTGCGCCATTTTGTCCTGCGCTGATTTGTCATAGAGCAATATTAAACATTGGATCAGATCATATGACACTCCGTCTAACCTTAAATACACTCTTCCAGGACAACTAGAACGAGGTAAATAAGGAGGTAGATAAACACTTGCTTAGCGGTCTCGTATGGTATATGGATGGATCTAAAATTAATGAGGGTACAGGCTCTGGCGTACATGAAGTTAGACACAAATGTGACATCATCGTCTCACTGGGAAAACATACAACTATATTCTAGGCTGAAATACATTCAATCGAATTGTGTTTACGAGAGAATTTAAGAAGGAAGTACAAAAACAAACCATCTTAATTCTCCTAGATAGCTAAACAGCCCTTGGTTCAAACAGAATCAAGTCGAAGATGGTCTGGAACTGCCTTGAAATACATAATGATCTGGCAACTCACCATTAGATAAAACTAGCGTTGATACCAGGACATAAATGTATCCAAGAACATGAAAAGGCTAATGAACTCCCCAAAGAGGGATCAGAACTACCGTTCATAGGACCTGAGCCTGTATTTGGGATAAGCAAAACATCTGCTTGACAAGCAGTGAACAGGCGGATAATTACAAAATACCAAATTTACTAGCAAAATATAATTGGGTACAAAATTAGTAAGCTTATGCCAAGGAGACAAAACCAACGCATGGCTGCTGAGGTAGTACAGCTCGCAAGGCCTCAGATATCCACCATTGTGGGATTACTAACGGAACACTGCTTAATGAAACACCTTCATGTGATGGGATTACATATTAATCCCACCACGAGTAGATTATACATGGAAAAAACTCACCAGGAACACTTGGTAAGGAACTTAGTAAAACTAACCAAAGACACCTGAATAAGGGGAAAGTAGGGGAATACGATAGACCCAAGAGGCCACAGTGTTCTGGACCAAATCAGACCCTACGTGCTTATAACCGACAAAGATAAAGATAAAACGATTGACGTCTAGAAGCATAATATTACTTTGACAGCAAAAAGAAAAAATAATGGATAAGCAACTTTACTTTGAATTTCACAGGTCACATGACCGCCTCCATTACCGGGACATAGTACATGTTGTTCATCCCTTCCCCTGTACCCAACTACAAATAACATGCAAGAAATACAACGTGCCAACGTGCAGTCAGATGATAGTGTTTCTACATAACAGAACATAGTTTCTGTACTGTTTACAGTTTGAGTACCCTTCGAAATATATTCGAAATGTTGTGCAGAACTCGTGCCTATCAATTCCTTTTTCAGATTGCTTTAGGAACCAAAATTAAGTCGTATTATTTTACCTTAAAAAATGCGATATATATCAAAGACGAATAAAAGTTCATAAATTCGAAAAAGAAAATTTTAAACGTATATGAATTTTCGTATTCGGTTTGAGTACGTGGACTTTCTAAGTTTGTTAAATATATCGCAAGTCTATGATAAAACTGAAAAGGAAAAAAGAGATTAATTAAGTTTTAAAATTTCTAAAAAGAATATATTTACAAAAAGGATGTATAAATTGAGATAACTATTTAAATCCATCTATAATTCAAAAGGAAAGTAGGTAGCAAGATTGGAGGAGGATGAAATAGATAGAAAAGAGGTTTTTCTTCAAACGAATCAAAATATTCAAATTATGTTATTAATCACTCTGTGTAAAATAATATCTATCTAAAAAAATCTAATTATCAGTATTGAAAGACGCATAAGAGACGCATGATGGTTAATGGAGAGTAGAGTTTTCATGCAAGATTATTTAATTTTATAAATAAAAAAAAGTCATAATATATTTATAAAATAGTTATTTTAACTTAATAACCTTTAAATTTAAATTTTGTAAATTTTCGTTAATGAGTCGTAGAAAAAATATAAACTAAAATCAAAGTACGGCATTTTGTAGACTTAATAAAATCAAGTTACTTTTATTTGAAATTTTTTCTGTTAAATATCCCACAGAGTGAATAGATAGACCCTATGACCTAAAAGCTGGGACACCTCGTATACTATAACATATCTATAAATTTTTAAATCCTTTTTTTAATAAATATACCCTCGACTTACCCTAGTAAGAAACATAATAATTATTAAATTCATAACGGCAGCTGATACAGAAGTCACTATTTTGGCATGTTTTTTCATAAATGAATTTTTACTTGTATATATCACCGATACGAGGGACAGTCTATAAATTATTGTTCCTAAAACTGCACATAACACCACAATTAGCTGAAAAATAAATAAATCTATAAGCACCTTTGTTTGATGGCCAAAAAATAAATTTTTACCATAAAAAATACAGCAGAACCTGTTATAGCTAAACGCCCTACTCTTGTCCAGGTTGGTAAATAAGGTTCCTTATCCCTAGTTACAGGATTTGTTCGAAAAGTTTTGACACTTGTTTCGAATTCTGAAATGAAGATAAGTTATCATATTTTTATAAGCAAAGAACGACTATAAAAGGACTAATAAATACCTGGTCTAGGTTCTTCGTCTTGTTCTGTATCCTGAAGGTCCCATTCCCACTGTATTACACTTTGTTTTCTTCTCCACATTTCCAAAAAGACCGTGGCTAAAAAGAAAACGTTAACCTAGAAAATCAAACTTAATTGCAATTAACTTACCCCATAAACTCATGAAAATGGCAAAGAAGACAGTAGCTGGATTATCAAAGAGGTATGTTAGTCTAGCAAATTTACAACTTTCTATAAGTTTTTGATATTTACACACTTTATCACACATTGGACATAAAGTTATGTTGCCTGGACCGTTTAAATCACATATTTCTTTACTGAAAAAAAATTAGCATTATTTTTTACGATAAGCCCACAGACTACAGGGTTTATAGTCCAAGGTCCTACTCGCGTAAAAATGTTTTATCATTTTATAAAAAATTAGAGGAACAGTTTAATTATTGTGCTGGAAGAATAGGAACTTAGTACTTTTAAGCGATATCAATCTCTTTAATAAATTAGGTATTTATGCTTTAAAATAACTTACGTTGGTATATTGTCATCACCGTCGATAGTAAAAATTCCATATAAAAAACATAAAGTTCCTACTAAGGCTGGAGCATATAGCATTTTTGTATAATATCCCAGCCAGCAAAAATATAAACCTATTTTGTCACCGAAATATTTTCTTACTAAATTTAACGGCTGTCTTTTCATCCATTTCGACGGTCTTGCCCATTCCAAATATAAAAGCTAAAAAGTTGTTATATTATTAACTAAGGGCCCAAATAGCACAAGATATTCTGAGAATATGCACACGTAGGATGGCTCTATCAAGAAATAGCACTGGATGAAATAGTGTGGGACGAAATGGCGCGTATCAAAAGAGCGTCTGAACGAAATAGCGCATACCAAAAGAGCGCTTGAACGAAATAGCGCGTATCAAAAGAGCGTCAGTCAAAACACCGCCAGAACGAAATAGCGCTCTGTAAAAACTAGCATCAGTCAAAATAGAGCCAAAAAAAATTAACAATAAAATAATTTTTAAAAATCTAAACTAATTTACCTGTACGGCTTGAGTCATCGCGGGTTGATTGAAAAAAAAATTATTAAATAGCGCTATTTTTTTCGACGGTATTTCGTGACAGCCATTTCGGATTAAGGCTGCTTCAATACTTACTATTTCAATAGACGATATTTTATTAATGTGCTTTTTTGTTACGCCCTATTTTGAATAGGCGCTAGCTTGATTGAACGCTATTTCGTTCGGCGCTATTTTGTGACAGAGCCATGTAGGATGTATACAGGGTGTCCCAGCTTTTATTAGACAGGCTGTAACTTTTATAACAATTATCAGAATTAAATTAAATTTAGAAGGGTGCTACAATAACATGTTTGCTATGTGATAAGCGTATTTTCAAATATCAAGAACTTCCGGTCATACCGGAAGTGACCATGAATTTTGTTATTTCAAACACACTGTATATTTTAACCATTTTGAATTATCTAATTAGTTCTACACATTTTACATGTAATATGTCCTATACCTATCTCTAACCGTTTCTGATAATTTGGAGGTTACATTTATTATGTCTCTTGTCTGAAAATGAAAATAGTACATTTTACTAAATTTTACGGACATTTTATAACAAAAAAATCTAACATTAGAACTTAATTGAACATTTGAAGTGCCTTCTTTCTGTCTCAAGAAAAGCCTGAAACTTCTTCAGTAGTTTCCTCATTACACAATGTGTTTATGTATGTTTTGTGATGCCCATCTAGATATATTATCTAGTTGGCTTTGTTTTGTCAAACTTTCGATGTCATTTGCATCGCTGTTGACAACTAATTGGTTATTTTTAGTGGTAACGACTCAAACTACAATGATTTTTACTTTTACACCCAATGAATATGTTGATATGTTACTTTTATACGGTGAGTGTCAAAAAAATGGGCTTCATGCAAGAAAAGTGTATCAACAACGGTTTCCCAATCGTAGGACACCTGTAGCGTATACTTTTCCCTTGATTGAGTCAAAAATGCCAGTCGGTTCTTTTCTGAGGCACCTTCAAGAAATGAAGAAATTTCGATTGGCTTATGCAAATGTAAATCCAAAAGTTTCAGACAAGATACATAATAAGTGTAACCTACAAATTATCGGAAACGGTTAGAGATAGGTATAGGACATATTACATGAAAAATATGTAGAATTGATTAGAGAATTCAGATTTGTTGAAATATACAGTGTGTCCTATTTGAAATAACAAAATTTATGGTCACTTTCGGTATGACCGGAAGTTCTAGATATTGGAAAATACGCTCATCAGATAGCCCACAAGTCATTATGGCTTCGATTTAAATTTAATTTAATTCTGATAATTATTATAAAAGTTACAGCCTGTCTAATAAAAACTGGGACACCCTGTATATTGTAAATAAACTAAAAATATTAGAATATTTAGGTGATTGTGGATGGTTCTATGAATAATATCTAGGGAATATTCGTCGTTCTAACACGTCAATACTCTTAGGAACTGTCGCACAAACCTTAGATTTTAGGTATCCCCACCTTAGATAAACAAATGAAATATAGATGAGTAACGGTGTGGATTTGATTGGAGCCAGCATCTACCCTTCCTTCTATAACTTTCTCTTTTTCCTGGGTCTTTGATGTGATTCGTCTATTTTAAATAGCAGCGGAAAAATTTAGTCAAAACTGTCAACAAGTGCTTGGTAATTGTCAGTTATGTTTGTAAATTTATTATTATTATTTTGTATTCCCAGGGCATATGTTTTAAGTTTTTAGAAATTCTAATAATTTTTTTTTAAATTTTATTAGTTGTAAGTCTAAAAATTAATATTCAATGTTTTGTTTGCCCAAAACATACATTTGGAGAAGTTCCACGTCGTTTCAAAGGCAAGTAAATTAAAAATATAGACGGTACAAATATAAAAATTTTTATGCAGGTTTCCAACAGACCTTTAAGGAATGGAAATTTGCATTTAAACATGGAATTAGGAACGGTTGAAGTTGATAAAATTAACACAAACACTAAAATTCAAGGTGTTCCGCATAAGTACCGACACAGCACAGGTGCAGTTGGGCACCCCAAAATAAGATAATTTAACGCAATTTACCTCTATACCAAGTTGTACCCCTAAGGATTTGCCTACGGAAGCCTCAAGTTAGTATCTCTGCAACCGTTTAACTTAAAAAAAATCTATATTTGGTAAATTATTTAGACGCTTCATGAGGGGGTGAGTAAGAATTAACTGAAATATCGCCAGATTTTTTAAAATTTTAATTTCATTTTATGCAAAATTTTAATTTAAAACTTTATTTACTCTTTTTATTTTTTAATAAACATAATATTTTTCGAGAAAAACGAGAAAAATTAAATCAATACATATGACAATGTTAATGCAAAAATCACTTGTTAGTTTGCTATGCATTTCTCTAAAATTTTGTTTGAATTGCATTTTTCTTTAAATTTGTCCTTAACAAAATATTTAAAAAACAATCCTTTGAATTCTGATGAAAAACTATTTGATACACCAACAGAGATCATTATTCTCGGAAAAAACAACTAAGGTATGAGGTCCAGTGACAGAGTAGCACTCACGGGGAAAACTCTATGGGGCAGACTAGGGTGGGGTAGCGTTTGTAATCAACCACGTCCACAGAGCGCATTCCGTCGTGTGGTGTGGTCGAAGGTCGAAGGTGGGAGGTGGGTTGGAGTGAATGGCATGTGAATATTGATTGATTTGTGCCATTTGTGTTGTGGGCAGGTAGTCATGGTGGAAACTTAATAATATTGTCTTTTTTTAATATTGTTAAGTTGGTTGCATTTATTTGTGTTTTTTCCCTAGAAGTGTACCGGATGGTGTAACATTTTAAAATTCCAGTTAAAAATGTTATTTTAATTGTGTGACATCCTGTATAAATAGTATTCGATTAATTTAAATTTAATTATCGCCGCACGCAATATTCCTAAGAAAGGGAAATTTCGTGAAGTGGGAGTACAGTAAAGCAAACGATTTCGCCATTAGATTTTGAAATTTCGTTTATCGATCGATTTTATCTCCTAGTATCTGCTAGTGTTTGGCTGTACAAGTGGTGAGTAAAAAAAAAAGTATAATGTCATTGTAAAAATATCTCGGTAGAAATAATATTTCAACCTGTTGTTAGTTATAAGTTTGTTTTTATAAGTCAAGCTAAATTTTTTAAATAGGTTTCTATAATTCATTTTGGGTGCTGGAATTGCACAATGTTTATAGTAATTAGTTTTTACTGTATCTTGATTTAATTTTAAAAAAGTAGATGTTTCAAATTTAATTTATATCTCATACAAAAGCCACGTGAAAAACAGAATTTATTTTTTGTTTAGAAAACGAATAGGAGCAGCTAAAAGATAAAAGCTAAAAGTTGAAAGCTAGAACTAAAAGTTAAATGTTAGAACTAGAAAGAAAGAGATATGGTGTTCATGCTCGAGTAGCAGAATTATGCAAGATGCGAGATTTGGTGTTCGTTCCCGAGTAGCAGAATTATAGTTCGACTGCATTCTAAGGAAGTTGGCAGCCAAAACCAAATAGTGGTAACTAATAGTGGCTAATTTTATTATTGGAGATATAAAAGTTAATTTACCAGCTTAAATTTAATATTTACTTGTTCCTGAACATTTTCAATTTTTACTGAATAAACTAATTTATTTTTATAAATATATATGTTAAATCTTATTTTTTTTAAAGGTTACAACAATTCTCTTTTGCCTAAATTTTATATAAGTTTTAATTAATTTCCTTTTGATAAAGCTAGAGTTTATAATTCTCACTAGCTTTCTAAAAATAAAAAAAGGGAATTATTGGCGCCCCACTCTCCCAGAAAACTATTATCCCCAAAGATGTCTATTAGAAAAGCCGAAGTCACGACTGAGGAAACTATATGGTCAATGTGCTCATTTCTTTTTAATTTGATTAAAGGTAAGTAATGTTTGGTGTTAAATTTCTATGAGCTAGTCAAAATTTCTTATAAGTGTTTTGAAATTAACATTTTATTGCAAAGTAACGCAGAGTAATTACAAATTGACGCTCCGACGTGTCAACATATTACAATGGTTCCTCTTCTTAGCTGCTGTCTACCGAGCTAATCGGCTGTGTAGTGTACAGTCCTTTTTCGGTTTTTGTCTCTGGCTCCAGCCGCAGTAGGTGAATGATTCATATTTTCTATTATACAGGGAGTGCTGTAATAAACGTTTAATTTATTCCGTGTCGATTTAATAATAATTATTGTTTAACTATTGTGTTTAAACAAGTCAGTGGATTGAATATTTATTTTCTATTAGATAGGGAGGGCGGTTTTACTATTTAATTTTTTCTTGTGATTTAATAAAATAATTTTTAATCGAAAATGTATTTTCTATTAGACCGGGAGTACGGTAATTACCTTTTGATTTGTTACTTTCGATTTTAAAGATCGACCGTTGTATTTAAATCATAAATTAATTGTAAATTACATTTTCTATCATACAGGAGGGAGTATTGTAACCACCGTTTTATTTATTTCTTTTGATTTAACAATTATTATTTGACTTTTGTGCCTAAACAGATCATTTAATACGCTAATTCGGTGTGATGTCATTTTGGTTCCACTGACATTTAATTCTAACCAAACTTTTAACAAAAACATCAATAAATTTGACAAATACGTTTTTACTGTTTTTAGTTTATTTCTAAATATTGTTTACAGGTCACAAAAAATAGTTTAAAGATATGTAATTGGTAACTAAATGATTGTTTATTTGATGCATGTTATCTACTTACTTTAGGAATATATTTATAAAATTGAAAAAAAACGCACTCAAAAAATCTACTGTCACTTTAATTGTCAGTGGAACCATAATTATATCATCACTGAACTAGCGTATTAAGAATTAATTATACAGGGAGTGCCAGTTTTAATTGGCGTTTTAGTTATTTCTTATTTTATTTGTATTGTTTAGCTTTAGGATTTAAACAATTTAGTTGATTTAATAAAACAATTCCTAACTGGAAATTCATTTTCTATTATACAGGGAGCGCCGTTTTAATTATTTCGTTGTGTATGTACCCTAAAAAGCCTAAAAAGCCATTTCAAAGCTTACCTATGTAATTACTTTATCTCTGAGACAAGTACTATTAGATAATTATTAATGAAACTGTATATCACATTTTTCATAAGCTAAATTAATTATATTTTTGATTTTTCGTTTTAATATTTATCTTATCTTGAAGCATAAGTCAATCCTTTTTGGGCGTATTGATTTAGTTATGTTTCGCAATATTTCGTTTGAGGCATAATATATTATTTAAAAGAAAAACTATAGAAATAGTCCCATTATTTTTTTAGACATTCTGTATTTCCTATTTATTCGGGAAACTTACCCTTCTGTCAAGAATTTTACCATCGCTTGTGTCTTTATTCCATTTCCCTTCGTGTAATGGAAAACATGCGTAGTATGTAGAGTCATTTAAAAGTCTTCGGATTCCAACCTTAAAAACGAATAATAATATAAATTAATTTAAGGTAATACATTTTTCTCTGACTTACTTTGTCCGTGTCATCAAATTTTACTCTCAACAAAATTTGCATAACTATTAAGCTTCTTTGAGCGCTGGAATATTCGGTCACTCTGTCTTTTACAACAAATCTGTAAAATGTATGAAATATTTAAACCTTCTTCATTTTAAATTAATTACAATGGTATAATAATCGATTCTACAGTCATGTTGCATACTTTGCAACTTGCACACATTTTGAAATATAAAAGACATCGTACTGATTACATATTTTTATATTTTCAAGTTAAGGGCATTAGAGTGAAAATTGTGTAATATTATGAGGATGGTATGTCTGTGGTAGAAGATACTGCCGTTCAAAGATCGTAAATCTGCCAGAACACCAAAGAAAATTATTGCTCATAGCTAGAAAAGTATTTAACAGTATTTAACGATTATGTTTTCGTTTGGTAGATAATTTAGTATCCTGTGGAGCAGGCTGATAGAATGGCTTCACCCGGGTGTTAGAAGCCCACCAAGTGGCCACTTCCTAAAAATAAGTCATCTAGCAAACACCTCTCGCAGCGACGTTATTAACCTACAGGACTTTGACCTGAGAAGCTGGCTATCTCTAGATATCCTCTAGGGGCAACTATTTCATGAGTTAATAACCTGCAGAACTTTGCCGAGCTGAGAAGATAGCTGTCTGTAAACACCCTTCAGCGTGAATCAGCAGATTTTTGACAAGTTGATAACATGCAGGCCTTTGATGAGCTGGAGAGATGGCCATCACTAAACACCTTTTAGCGACAATCAGCAGATTTTGACAAGTTGAGAGGTAGGTTCTCTAGGCCCCTGGAGAATGCACAATGGGCCTTATGAGACCTAAGTGCTGTGAATCAACCCAACCAGCCTACCTTACAGATACAGATAGTGCTATTAAACACCTAATGTATTTATTATTATACAGGATACAATACTTTTTCTTTAGATGAAGCCAAATACAAATAATTTTTAGACGAATTACTTTTTGCATTTGGTAATATTTGGTTAATTAAAGACATATAGTTTATTATGCAAGGAGCAAAAAGTACTTTTTAATTTAAGCTGTTACTTATAGAAGAGGCGAAGCGAGTGCTTTAAAAATCGTTAGTAACAAAGTAACAAAACATAATATTTTTTATGCTTATTGTTTTTATATTCTAGAGATTACCCATTCTTATCTTTGGACTTATTTTCTAACATTGACAGGTTAGTTTTTTTAAGTGGGTATGATTAAAAAATGCTACGATATGAGAGATAGAATATATAATGGTAAATGGTGTGATTTTTGTTCTTACTGGTGACAATGGTGATGTTTCACACACTAAATATAATATATTTAGCTTGTACTATATCTAGGGCTGGATGAAATTGTTATTTGTAAGATAGGCAATATGCATTTCTTGAATGCGTGGGTAGAGCAAGATGAGATTGTTATTTATAGAAGGTAATATGCAATTCTTGAATACGTGGGTTTTACACAAATTGATTGAACAGGGGCGGTTTGCAAAATATTATGTTTAAATTTAAGGTTATGTTCTGAAATTTATACAATTATAATAATATGCTAAATACAGAGACGAAGAAATCGGTTAATAGTTAATATTTTTAAGCTATTTTAGCTGTATATGTATTACAAAAAGACAACTTTATACAAGCAAGTTTTGCTTTTCACATTTACAAATACCACCATTAATATTTATCAAATTTAGAAATTTGTAAATTTTTGATGTTACTGGGTTTTTAAACATTTCGTTTTAAACATTTGTGATGACCTTTTAACTGGATAAATGTCACTCTTTAGAATAATAAATAATACACAATAGGGTATTAAATCACCTAGCAAATGAAAACAAATTTATCTAAAACTGTTCAACACTCTTCGAGATATGAGATATGAGCAAAAATGTTCTTCTATCACAGACATACGATCCTCTTAATATTTTATAATTTTTATTCAAGTGACAGTACCTTCAAACTATCAAATTCACAATTTATTCCTATAAATTTGTTTTCCTATGCCACCCCACCCCACCCGTCCTCATTCAGATAGTATGGGACCATAACGAACACCCTTGGAAATATTTTTTTTCAATAATTTTTAAAATTAAATTTTAATTTTTTTAATATGATGAATACTATCTACTTAAAATAGACCCTTTCAAAGATATTTGGCTTATTTAGTTTGCCAGAGCCGAACTAGCTTTAACACAATAATGCTAATTTTTACACCCTGTATGATGAAGGCACAATAAATATTTTTAGACAGGCTAAAATAACTTAAACTAAAAAGTACTCTGTATTGATATCCATAAAATGAACTGGTAAAAAATGGTTTAATATGGTTTAATATGGTTTAATATGGTTTAATATGGTTTAATATGGTTTAATATGGTTTAATATGGTTTAATATGGTTTAATATGGTTTAATATGGTTTAATATGGTTTAATATGGTTTAATATGGTTTAATATGGTTTAATATGGTTTAATATGGTTTAATATGGTTTAATATGGTTTAATATGGTTTAAAATGGTTTAAAATGGTTTAATATGGTTTAATATGGTTTAATATGGTTTAATATGGTTTAATATGGTTTAATATGGTTTAATATGGTTTAATATGGTTTAATATGGTTTAATATGGTTTAATATGGTTTAATATGGTTTAATATGGTTTAATATGATTTAATATGGTTTAATATGGTTTAATATGGTTTAATATGGTTTAATATGGTTTAATATGGTTTAATATGGTTTAATATGGTTTAATATGGTTTAATATGGTTTAATATGGTTTAATATGGTTTAATATGGTTTAATATGGTTTAATATGGTTTAATATGGTTTAATATGGTTTAATATGGTTTAATATGGTTTAATATGATTTAATATGGTTTAATATGGTTTAATATGGTTTAATATGGTTTAATATGGTTTAATATGGTTTAATATGGTTTAATATGGTTTAATATGGTTTAATATGGTTTAATATGGTTTAATATGGTTTAATATGGTTTAATATGGTTTAATATGGTTTAATATGGTTTAATATGGTTTAATATGGTTTAATATGGTTTAATATGGTTTAATATGGTTTAATATGGTTTAATATGGTTTAATATGGTTTAATATGGTTTAATATGGTTTAATATGGTTTAATATGGTTTAATATGGTTTAATATGGTTTAATATGGTTTAATATGGTTTAATATGGTTTAATATGGTTTAATATGGTTTAATATGGTTTAATATGGTTTAATATGGTTTAATATGGTTTAATATGGTTTAATATGGTTTAATATGGTTTAATATGGTTTAATATGGTTTAATATGGTTTAATATGGTTTAATATGGTTTAATATGGTTTAATATGGTTTAATATGGTTTAATAGGGTTTAATAGGGTTTAATATGATTTAATATGGTTTAATATGGTTTCATATGGTTTAATATGATTTAGTATGGTTTTTTACAATAGTTTTTATTTTGATAAAATCCCTTCTTTGTTGTATTTTTTTACATATAGGTACTTAGGTATTTCTAGGGGCGTTCGTTAAGGAGCCCCAACTCCATAGAGAGCGTATGAAAAAAGCATAGGAATATTTGTCATGTTATTTTAATATGCACCATCTGAATTCGGGAGCTTGCACACATTTTCTGCCATACCCTATATAATAAAAACTTAAAAAACGATTACTAAAACATATTTCCTAAAAAAATGTACACATATAATTTGACGCTCTATACTCGTAATTTTATTATTATTTTACTATACTTACTGTTCTTCTCTATCACCACCCCCTTCAGTTGCATCGTAAAATGATGGTTCTTGGTTTATTAAATCGTGGTTAAACTCAAAAAATTCCTTCCATTTCTTTTGCCATCTAAAATAAAAGCTTTCTGAATTCCTCGATTCTTTTTTGTCGTCCTAAAAAGATATTTATTATACCTAAGGTTTGATAATTGACAGAAAACACAAAAGTTGTCAAAAACAGAATTCTTTGCTTATTATATTGCAATATAATTACAAACCTAACCTTTTTAAACATACTTATTATAAACTGTTTAACTTACCCAGGCTTTTACGGATATGGTAATAAACCTTTTGATGGGAAGTTTCATAGCCATAAGAGCAGCATATCTCGTTTTCGTTTTCCAAGGTAAATGCACTTTTAGAAACCATGTTCTACCATCAAATGATAAATCTTTGTGTTCAAGTTCCAGTTCTAGGCCTTCTTTCATTAAATTTTCCTAAGAAATATAAAAACTAAATACATGCTACAACCAAAAATTGAAAATTTAGTATTTTTTAACTTCCATGTCCAAAATTATCACCTCAAAAAAATGCATTTATCATTCATATTAAAAAAAAAATACTTTAAAAATTTACCTATAAATGATACATCGTTTTTACCTGGAAGGATTTTCTTTTATCTCTTCGTTTTGCTTCAGCTTCGGTCATTACACCAAGTTCTTCCTCTTCATATACCAAAACCATATCGATTTTTCGTCGGCCATCTCTAAAATATAAACTCTCTGGGTCCAAAACCTGAAAATTCAAGAAACATTATTAAATATTAAAGCTTCCATTATGTGCCAAGAAATTTCTTTAGTATCTTCAAATTTGTGATCTATATACAGCTCGAAATACTGGGTATCAACAAAAATACATAATATCTAATTAATACACAATTAAAATTATAAAAAATAAACATCGCTACTATAAAGTTTCTATCAAAGTTTACAGAATAATCAGAGTTCAAACCGCATCAAAGCCGCGGAAATACTATAAAATCATCACTTTGGTCGGGACCAACAATTTTTTTAGGTTCCCTTCTGTATCTATGTGCTTTTAGCTACATCAAAAACAGCCAAAAATGCCTTCGAAACAAACGACATTTCTTTTCTAATACCTGCTATTGGAACAGTGATTTTTATTTGACTCAATAAATATTGACTTCTCAAATATCCATTCTACAATTTATGTATGAAGACAAGATTGATTATGTTGCAATTTTTCAATTTGAAACTCTTTTCTAATAGGTTCAAATGAGACAAAGTTTGGACTTGTAACGATATTTTTTGAAGTATAAATATTTGATAAATTTATTTTGAATAGTTTGCAAAAAAAAATTTAAATTTTGTTGTGTAGGATCCCATACGAGAATAAAAATAAATTTTTAATTGAGTATGTGTCTGTAAAGTCGTGTATTTCAGAAATTCTAACAATTTGTAAGCTTCTTTGGTAGTTTTATGGATATGCTCATCAAATTTGAAATTATTTTGAAAAACTATTTCCAATTCGGCCATTTTTGATACTCTCTCTAGTGCTGATCCTTGTATTGTGTAGATGCAATTTTGAGGATTACTTATTTTACCTTGCATTTCGAAAGATTAAAAAGTAATTTATTTTCTAATACCCAATCCGAAATTGAGTCTGAGTCATTTTGAAGGTCTAGGTAGTCATCTAGGGTGGATATTTACTTAAAAACTTTAAGACAGGGCCCGCGCCGTGTGAGGGCCCCCAAATTAAACGAGATATTCTCACAAAATATTTTTTTCATTTATATCAGTTAAAAAAATAAGAGATTTGCAATTTTTGCACTGGAAATGATAATAATTTAATGGACTAGTTGTTAAGTATTTATCTATTCTACCACCAAAGAAAATTGTACCCATTCTTTTTTTTTTCCTAATATTTTTTAGTTTTGATTGTTGTATAACTTGTTTAAGGTTGCAATTTTTGCACTGGCAATGATAATAATTTAACGGACTAGTTGTTCAGTATTTATCTATTCTACCACGAAAGAAAATGGTTCCTATTCTTTTTTTATTGCTAATATTTTTTAGTTTTGATTGTTGTATAACTTGTTTAAGATGGTAGTTCTTGTAATCTTTAGTTGGTAGTTTGTATCTTAAAATTAAAAAGAGAGCGTGTTGTATAACTTGTTTAAGTTGATAGTTCTTGTATTCTTTAGTTGGTAGTTCTTGTAATCCTTAGTTGGTAGTCAAGTTTTGTTAAATTGGTAGTTCAGCAGATAACACAAGATGTCCCAAGAACGTAAAAACTAAAACATTGATTTTGCTTGAACTCAAGGTTATTATGTTTGACAGGTGGCTAATTTTTGCTTTGTTTATTGATAATTAATAATTAGTAATTAATAATTTATTATATCATTGATCTCAACATGTAAAAATTATTCATTTCTTGTTTTTGTGTTTTTTTTACAGTAGTACTTATTTTTTATATTATAGTCTTTAACACATTTCTATTTGACATAGTTTGTTTACTTATATTTTTTGGAGAAAGTCTGCGGTGGACCAAGAAAAGTTTTGCGGGTGGGCCCCTCAACTCAACACACCCCTGCTTTAAGATCATCTCCATACATGAGGCAGTCTGATGTAGTACGTAGAGCGAGATTATTGATATTAAGAAAAGTAGAGCGTCTTTTTAAGGCCACGTTTTTTCCTAAATAAAGTATTATTCAACTCTGATAATTCTACTATATTATATAAAAACTATGATATGTTCCGGTAACAGTGTAGTGTCATGAAAAGACGATATCTAGATCATCCAAGAACTGCTACAGTAGGTCATTCTTTTACTTCTTGTGCAATGTCTCCGAATTCGTCTCCGAATTCATATCCGAATTCATCTCCGAATGACGTAATATAGGCGGGATTTGAAACCACTAGTCCCTATTTAACATGTGTCCCGATTTTGTCCCACTTTTGTCAGAATAAAAAAAATGTAAATATTTCATTTAAGTTGGTTAAAAATACAATTTTTATCGTTACGCGACAATGCACTTTATTAAATATTTTCTTTTTTTGCTCTTCAATGAACCAAACCATCACTGCTGCAAATAGAATACGTCGAAAAATCTCCATGTTTCGATTTGTCCCGCTTACTACTTTTCAAAATATGGTCACGTAACGTAATATTTTGTAATATTACTTTCCTTCCATTATCTAAATAGTACTTTTCAACAAAAATTAATTGTTGCAAACGATTGGGTTGATCTGAGTTAACTTGGCCTGGTTTATCTAATCAATATTTCCTATAATTGATTTTTGCTGTAAAGCAGTGGCGGCTCGTGGGCACTAGCGACAGTGGGGCACACAGTGGAAAGGAATCTCGAGATTCGTTTTTCCCTTGGGAAAACAAGTTCTCCGCTTAATGAAAATTAAATATATTTAAAAAAAAAAAAATATTACAAAATTGAAGACTTACTGCTAGGTACCGTTGCAGTTGTATACTATTTCTTATAGTTGAAGTCCATTCTTCTGGATTTTTGGTTAGCGAAGTGATCGATGACCAGATTATTAAAATTTGGAATGGACCGAATAAGTTTTTTTTCGATGGATAACATGGCTAACGCGCACAATCTATTCTGGCACATAGTGTTCCTTAAAAATGTTTTAATACGTTTTAGTGTCGAAATACATCTTTCACTCCCCACTGTGGTCATGGGAATTGTACACAGGATAGTTAGCAGCTCCACAGATTCCGAAAATGTAATTATCAAATTGTTCTCAAAAAACATTTGTAATAACGGTACGGCCCCATTGTGTTACACAAAGTTATCTCGAGTGTAAAGTATGGACAGTTCGTTTTTTAATTTTAAGCTGTAAACGTTTGGAAATAAACTACACACAGTTTGAACGTCCTCATTTGGAAAACAACCTCGATAGTCTTTAAATTTTTCACTATCAAATAAACTTGCAATTGTTAGGTGAGTAGTAAAACTAAAACGTTCATTTACCTGCACTACTATTGTATCACAAATTTCCTTACATATCCTTAAATTAGGAATTGGGTCTCCTTTTCAACAAACCGTCTCTTCTTGCTTGTACTTGAACCTGATTGGGTGTTGTTTAAGTTTAGTTCTTGTGGGTCTTGGTGTGATTGCCATTCTTCATGAATTTTCGTGTCTATATTATTTCTAATATGTTTATCTTAACCTTGAGAGCATCGAGCTGTCTACTCTGCAGTTGATCAAAAAGTATATCGCAATTTGGCATTATTTTGCTAAAGAAAAATAACCAGAAATTAAAATCGATGTCTTTCAAAAAATTTATCAACCCTTAAGTCTGATTAATAGTTTTTTTATCGAATTCTGTGTCCATAAATTCTTCGAGACATTTAATTAAATCCTCTTTATAAACATAAATAGTATCGACACACTTTGATGTAAAATTCCACCGAGTAGGATCCAAACGAGGTAACCGTTTTTTTACAACCCTATCCAAAACGCTTGTTATTTTTGTAGAGCGGAGAAATAAGCAAAAAATGCAGTAGAGATTGGCAAAAAAAACTTCTACAGCCTTATCTATTGAGCAACACTTTTCAATTATTAGATTTTATTGGTGCGCGTAGCAGTGAATATATTGGGCATTTGCATAGATGTTTTTAATTTTAGGTTGTACCCCTCCAACAATACCACTCATTACGGAAGCACCATCGTAACTTTGTGCTATTAGTTTTTCAGGTACTTTGTCAATTCCTAGTTCACTTAATACCTCCAGAATTGCCAAAACCTTTCGTATTATAACAATTATATATCACACTTATCAAACGGATTACCGAAATGTACGGCTCCAAAATATCAACAAGCAGAACCACCCGGCAGCGCTAAGTTGAAGGTAAACAAATAAGCCATTGGTACAGTACGTCACGATAAGGACAGCGCCCCGCTTGTGACGTATAATCCACCGCATCTGTTCATCTCTTGCTAAGCGATATTGTCGTTGTCCTTGTTTTTCGCGTTATAATGAGAGAGAAAACAACAGAGGCGCACATTTACTGTGCCCTGTGCCTATCTTCTACTTAATTTCGGCATTTTTGGAACGTCGCTCAATGCCCGGTCGCCCAGTGTCATGCCAACGCGGTTTGCGCTAAAAATTAGATAAAATAATAATAGGCATTGAAGAAAATATAAAATATGTAAGTTATTATTTTTTTGGTTTATTATACTAGGGCACGTGCCCAAGAGCAAACCGCTACTGCTGAAAAGTACTATTTATATAATTGCAAAATTGTACGTCATTCAGACATTGTCCACAAAGTATTTAAATAATTACCACTGCTGAAACAATTTTATGTTTTAAGATGGTTTTGTGTATATAATTTTTTAGTCACACAAAGGTGGCATTGTAAAAATAGATTTGTTTTGAAAAATGAATAATTGAATAAATTAATTTTTACAGACTGTAAATCAACTTCTAACGTACTGGCACCTTAGAAAGCGATACAGATATATAAGGATGTATTAAGATTTTGAAGGAAATATTTCCTCCAAAAGGATGTACGAGGATTTCCGAGGATGTGTGAAGAATTTATAGGGATTTCTTAGGATGTATGAAGGATTTACGATGATTTCTCAGGGGTTTCGAGAATGTATAAGGATTTACAAGGAAGTATACAAACTTTAGGTCAATGGTTTCCTCCTCGGTTGTAACGGTTAAAACCGTTTTCGTTATTTGACCCAGACCCAGACCCGTTTTCGTTATTTTGAAACCACCATCTCTACACAAACGTCATTTGTC